AAGAGGTGTTTGTCTGTGTGTGTTTGGTGTTGGGTGGGGGGGGGGGGGACAAGCAGGGGGAGGCAGGCAGAGAGATCCTGCCCCAGGTAAGAGGAAGGCAAGGGGATGGAAAAGGGGCAGTAGGTGCAAGGGAGAGGGACAAGCGGCAGGGAGGGGGACCGCGACAGGAAAGCTAAGGTGGAAAGGGGAGGCAAGCTGCTGCTTTATATTGGGGAAGGTGAGTTTTTGGGGAGTACTTAAGAAGCAATAAAGATAAAAGCTGGGCTCGGATGAAAACCGAACTGTGCAATTTTGGGAGAGGGCATGCTGCTTCCAGTGCTGGCTGACGGGACCTGGAAGAGAGCTTGGCACATGGAGAACTCTGAGGCTGCAACGCAGGGATGCTCCCTGCATATCTAAGAGCACAGAGGAGTGGTGGTTTCAGTGCAGAACTAGCAACCACGCAGCCTGTGATGCCCCTCATAGCGTCTGCAAGAGAAAAAGGACTGTGCCCCAGCGCAGCTGCTCTGCACACGCTCCCCTATCTCCTTCTGCACAGGGACACAAGGAAGGAAGCCGGCTCCCCATGCCTACCTCCTTCTCCACCCTGCCTCATCCACTAGGGCACTGGCTAGTAGCCCAAACCATAAACTAGCCGTTTCTTTCATTTTCAGAAAAATCATGCCTTTGGACTGCAGCAGCTGCACCTTGTCCATGGGGCGATGGCTCAGCACCTCTATCTCTGGAGCAGGGAGCTCTTTGCAGGGAGCTCCCCGACTGCTTGCAAGACAAATCATTTTTAATCATGCCGTAAAAAGCAGGAGATGAACTGTAGGGATTTCCTCCCCACTCTGTGCCCATTTGCCATCTCTCCAGTCAACCCTTGAGCAGGGAACTTTGGAAAGAGCCAGCTCCTCTTAGAGGCTTTCCACAAGAGGCTCAGAGCTCACCGTTTCGAGGAACAGACTGCTAACGACATTTGCGGTCAAGGCACCGGGCTGGGGCTCAAGAGATTTTGCTTGAATTCCAAGTTTCACCACAAACTCCCTCTGTGCCAGGTTTCCCAAGATATGCAGGTGGCAGCAGTGCAGGCAGGCGCCTGATGGCATTTCCAGGTGAAGCGCAGCAAGGAAGCTGCTTCAGACCCATAGGAATCACCTGTCTAGGCCTCCAAGTACTTTAGTGCTTTTTTTGTTTTTTACTTTTTTTTTTTTTTTTTTAACTTTAGCACTTTTATCTGATCCCTACGTGACACTCAAGTCAGTCCCTTTGTCTTCATTGGTGGATCACCCACTCTCTTGTTGCCTTGAGAGGTGGCTTGCTTGTCAGGGCAAGGACCTGCTTTCAAATACAGAACTTAATCACCTCCATCTCCAACAGAGCCTCTCAAAACAAGTGCACTGAAAATAATAAACTTCCTGTTAGCTCAGACAAACCTACCCCTGCTCTAGATCATGCTGGCTACTTTCTTTGACACACTGACTCAGTTTATGGCGCACATCTGGTGGAGTCCCCTTCAGTGCAATAAAGCTCCCCTTTTATGGAAAGATTTGCCTAGTGAAAGAATGAAAGAGAGGGGGATGCAACGTGACTAAACGTGCTTGGCCTTCTTGGGCAAAGGGTTATGTGTGTTTATTTTATGGGATGTGGAGTAAAGGACTATTGGGCAAGCGCACACAAAAAGAGTTTCATAATCTCAACCAGCTTAAAATTGGTTTTTCATGGCCAGTTCCTTTCCTGCATACTTGGGACATCTGTGGAGCAATTGTTCCTCACGGGTGGGATTTCTGCATCCTCCAAGCTACTGTAATAAGGTCAGCTTCAAACATTCAGTTTGGGCCTGGCATTGCTAGGTTCAGCAAGGAGTGGGAATATCCTCAGGAATGTCGAGCGCAGGAGCTTGCTTTCCTGGGAAGCTCTGCAGGCTCCCAGGGTGGGTGGGATAAAGACTAGGTAGATGGTTGGCTCCCCATGCCTACCCAGTTACAGGTGGGACCGGCATTTCTGAGTTATCTCGTGTAGGCATTCCTCAACAGAAAGGGTCTACGTGGATATGCACACTCTGTCCGGTTTTCCTCTTCAGAAGAAGAGGGGGTGGATTCCTTTGGGAGAGGGAGAAAGGACTAGTTGCTCAATCAAGCCATTACCTGGCCCCGGGAAAAGGAGGGTTTACAGGTGCCCTCTCCTGGCTATCACTAATGATAGTCTGATGTTTGATTTGCAAATGAAATCGGGCTCCATCCTCCTTTGCCGTGCATGAATCTGGCACTGGGTCAAGAGACAAGGAGATGAATCAACAGTCCGTTCCCATGTCTAATTCCTGTGATTAAAGGACTAATTGGAGTGGCTGAAACACTCCGGGAACAGCGGATATGGAATGTGATGGCTCGACAGTTCTCAGCAAGCTGGTAGGAGGGAAAAACACCCCTGCGGTTGCCTGAGTCTTTCCTCTGTCTGGAAGGGATGGAAAGAAGATCAGAAACAATCGGATTCAGCCGTCCCCATGTAATGGCAGAGGCAGCAGCAGCGTAAGCGCTCAGTGGATCACACAGAGGAAGGGGCAGTTCAGGACCTATGGCAGCCTGCCCGCCTGCCTACAATTTAGCTGCATACTCCACCTACCAAACTCGGCATATTTCTGTTCCACAAACAGACTTTCTGGAATTTTTCTGTGTCTGTGACTCCACTTGTGACCCTGTGAACCTCCCTTTAAGTCAGCCGAAGCAGTCTGTTTTCATTCTACAATCTCCAAGGCACATTAATATTTAAAATGCGTTGATAAGATGAAAGAAGAGCAATCCTTCTGGATGAATTAAAGGAAAGGACATTTGCTTCTCTCCAACGCTTTGGGAACTGGCTTGCAGTTAACATTAAGCACATCTTTTGAATGGGTCATAGATATCTTGCAAATTTAAAAAAAAAAAAACAAAACAAGTTATGGGGAAAAATAAGTGTTTCTGACCTCCAAAATTCCTGCTCTTCCTGGTGGGCCGGCTGGTGTGAGGAAACAGTAATACAATCTGGAAAGTCTTCTACTTTGGGACTGCTAGTTCCACTCTGACCTACAGCTTAAGTTGAGTGCAATATGGAAAAAGTCCTGCAGAAGTATTCCTTGGGAATCTAATGCTTTCAGTTCGCTGCTTTCAAGACTCTTGTGCTGAATTCTCATGAAGACGGCAGTATAGTTGATCTTGGCTTGCTGATTAGAGTTGCTTGTGGAAAATGACATTTATGTTGAGTGTATGATGAACGTTAACTTAAAGACTCATGTGGAGTGGGTTACTTCATACGAATCATTCCACCAAACACCAAGAACAACCTGCGATTATGCGTTAAATAACCAACACAGCATGAATTTCAAAGACGAGTCAGGAGCTGCTCATCTGCTAATTGAGGGAGAACTGATAAAATCATTCAGAAAATCATTCCGAATAATTAATGCGTCTGAGAACTTTTGCAATCTACTAGGGCACGTTTTGTGAGCAGTGGAAAACACAGCATGTGTACAACTGCTTGCTCTGCTCTTGCAGCGATTAATACCAAAATAGATCTTATCAGCATCCAGCTGCTTAAGAGGTCTCCGGGACCATCCTAACCCAATTCCTAGGGGACACATCCCATTCTTAAAAAGACAGCAGGGGTCAGATGAAAACCTGAGGGAGGACAAGAACTCAGTGGCCTGGAGACCTCTCTCACCGCAGTGCGGGGGCTGGCTGCTGCACGGGGCAGGAGAGCCGGCAGCTTGGGCTACGGCTTCCTGGGCCATGCTTGCTGCTTGGAGCCCCAGGCTCTGGTGCTGGCAACCTGGCACTTCTTGCACTGGTATTAGTTTCCATCTCAGATGAGGAGATGTACTAAGCTCTGAGTACTTTAGAAGCTCACACATCTGCAGCCTGATGAGATACACAACAAGTGGTATTAGCTTACTATCCCGCATCAGAAAATGAGATATGTCAAAAACATAGAGAAGCAATTGCTTCATTCTCCACGTACCACCTCAGACCTCCATGCAGCTGAGTACCAGGCCTGCTCCTCTGAGGGTTCACAAGCGCTGAGGTAGCCCTCCATGCTGGCATATGATGATATGTCTTTCTATCTGCAAACGCTGTTTCCCTGCTATTTTCAGATAAGTTTCATACAGAGCTAACTAGAGTCAGAGTGATTCCTGCGTCTGTCATGTGCTTTGCACCAGGCCCTGTGGTATGGATGACATGTTCCAACCATGCTCATCAGGAGCAACATCCCCTCCTTCTCTCACTTTACTTTTCTTAAAATCGTATTGCCAGGATGAGAAAACATCTAGCAGGACCATGATGCAAGAAAGAAGGTAAAGGGAAACAGAAAGCAGATGGCAACATGAAGACCTGAGAGTTACTGGATGTTGAGTCAAACGCAGCAATCAGCAGCATGCACAAGCAGGGCAGAGGTGCACGTTTGTGTTTTAGGAGGGACAACAGCAAAATGCTAATGGCTGCCACCAGACTCCTCAGAGCTTCTTTCAGCTCTAACCAACATGACGCAGCACAGTGTGGCATCTACCAAAACCTGAAGAGAAAAGGGGAAAAGCTGCCAACTTACTGGGTTCCCATCGATGCCTGGAGGTCCTCGTTCCCCAAAATCACCAGGAAAACCCTGAGGAGAGGAGGTAAACACAAGTATTAGTTATTGATGCATGCTAGTATAAAAACTGACAGCTTAAAAACTGCTCCCCTTGCACTCAACGCAACGGTTTGGTAGACTGGGTCACAAGGAAGTCTGGGCCCAACCAGCCTGTTAGTCCTCATCCAAGCCATCTGCACTCCACCGCTGCGTCTGCTCAGCAAAAAGCTCTGCATGGCTGTGAGCTCTGATTCAGTCCTCTCTCTTGTGGCCAGTGAGGGGTAACCAGGCAAGTACAAGGCTCAGCTGTGAGCTGCGCAACTAACAGAAGCCTGGAGGAGGAGAATGAGCGAGGAAACAGGAAGGCCTTTTTCTTGGCCATGCTGCAAAAGGCACCCATTGCTGAGACTGATGGACCTGACTTATCCGCATCTTATCTGTCTCGCTGCACCCAGCCCTTGATCAGCTGCGCCACCGTATTTGCTAACACCATTTTTCAGCCACAGGCCCATCTCATACAGCAGGCAAGGCTTTTGTAGCTTCACGTAGAAAGACGATGCAAACGAGCATAGCAGAGGGGAAGGGTGGAAATTAGTGCTTCTGCCCTCCTTTTGTTTCACGTAAGCACATCCGTATGTCCAACAAGAAATATGCAGTCCTGAAGATTACGTTGTCTAGCTCACAAGTGAAATGATAAGATAAGCCAACAGGACTGCAGCTCCTGTGCTGACAGTGCTGTCCAAAAGAGGTTGCTTTTCAGATCACCTGGATGCTCACAGAGTTATGCCGAGAACATTTCCCAGTAAAGGCAGCTGTACAAAGTGGTAGCAGTAGTAATTTGCAAAGGTATGAAAGTTGGAGAACACCATAAAATAATAAAAATAAATGGGCACAGTTTGCAGTGAGGCTTGGATGGTTGTGAACTCAGAGGAGGCTCCCCAAAATCACTTCTCTTCTGGCTGGGGCAGGTACCCCCCTTGCTGTTACAGATGGGGAGTGGAGGGGGTCAGAGATGACGATCAGACCAGAAAGGTGGAAACTGCTGTTTGCAGAGGCAGGAAGTAGTTCTGCACCTGAGTGACTTTCAAATGTAGGAAAAGAACTCAGTGACTTGTGGTTAACAGCAATTAAAGTCAATTAGGGTTTGATTGACCTGCCTTGGCATAAGGGAGATTTCTGTCTCTCTCCCCTTAGGGATGGAAATTTAACCCCTGAGCCTGTTTGCCTTGAAACTTGCCACATATCCCGATTGCTCTATTCAGTGCTTGTATCTGGAATCATTTCCATGTTGGCTACTGCCTTCCAGGTGAAGTCACGCAGAAGGGTGCTGCAAAACCTGCTCTTGGCTTCCTGTTGCTTATGTTAGCACCCTGGACAGGCTGGCCATTCTGGGCAGAGAGGGTTAAAAGTAGTCCCTGGGGAGTGACAAGCCGAGGAAGGTCCTCACGATGGCTCTTGAGGATGTTGTTTACCCTGAGCAGAGCGCCAACACAAGGTGAGCCTCAGAGAAAGGCCTCCTGAGAGCTGCTCCTTGAGGTCAACACAGCACAAAGGAGAACGTGAAGGGGAATCTTGAAGACTGGGAAGACATACAGCACTTCACCGGGTCAGGTCCCTAAAATGTCTGTCCTGCCAGCCCCTTTGAGCGCTGTTTTAGACCAACCTTTTAACAAGTGAATTCTTCCTGGTAAAGGGAATGAAAAGGTGCTACATTGGGAAATGGAGTGAGAAAAAAAATTCCACATTTGGAAGATCGAACTGTGTGCTTAAAGATATAGTGCTTCCTATCCTCTTTTAGGAAGAAACATCCTACTGATAAACACAATACTTCTGTAACAGTCAATCCCAAATACTCCAGAAGAATTCATAAGCCTTGCTGCAATGACTGTCCCCAGGAACGGGTTGTCAACGGACGGCAATTCCTGCATTATCTCATCCTATCCACTAACACAATGATTTTAACTATACCCCCTTCTCTTGCAATAGCTGAATGGCTTATGCCTCTGGAGCCCGTGCAAAAACTTAAAGAAGCTGATCAAAGATGCTGAGAAAATTTCCTCCAAGGCATTCATAACCTTGCAGCTTGCCAAAGTAGTAAATGATTCCAAGCTCATTACAGTCCACACCTGAGAGCTGCAAAGGACCATGTTTACTACATGAAAAAAGTGGTCACAAAAGAGCTCTGCATCGTACTTAATCTGACACAAATTTGAAAGACATCAAACAATCGTGAAAAAGTGGGTGGAGGTGCTGAGACAGAGCCAGAACACGATGGTGTGACACTTTCTATCACTCTTAGACTGACCCTGTGCTCTCCTGAGCCCGACAATTCTCTATGTGCAAATAAATTATACACAGGCTTGCTTTTCCTTCTTCTGTGTTGCTCTTTCTCCCTCAAGAAGAGCACAGCACAGGGGTACATAACCTCTGTAGTTAGTAAACCCCATTAGCCACCAGACCTATGTTTTCAAGAAGGAAGCCGTTTTGTTTAAGATGGGCTGGACTCATTTTTCTCCTGAACTTGGACTCCATTCAAGCAAAAGGCTGGCAGGGAGCAGGCTGCAGACAGTTATTAGGGACCAGCTCAAATAATAGCAGCCTCAGAGATACTCTGAACTTCACCTGCAGAAGACAGTGCTTTAGGGAGGCTCTGGGACTGAGGTAAGAGCTCTGCTCTTCTCCACTTTTTTATTGCATGTCCCTTAAAAAGGCGCGAGAATACATGAAGCAGTATCTACCTCCTTTGACTCTGAGCCAGAAGGAAAATCATCTGCTAAAGGAGCTCTCCATGCAGAGCCTAATCCCAGGCTCTGACTCCTAGACTTGCTTAATATGGCCAAGGCTAAAATCCTCCTTTATTTTGCACAATATTCTCATTGTGGGCATCAGGACGGAAAACAAAGAAATTTGCTTGGGTACAAAAGGCTTCCTAGCCAGAGTGTATCCTTGCATGCTTCAGTTCAGAGCAGGACAGTGCTTGTGAAGCAAATCTCCGCTCACTCCTGCTCGCTGTTCTTTGGTTTGTGGCAAAGCAGCTGTGGAGCGTGAGCGGTATTCCTTAAGACGAAGCCAGACCAGACACTCCAGAAACACACTAGCAAGCTGCAACTGCTAGTGCATGCACTACTTTTAACACAAACTAGGAGTCACAATAAATTTGCCTTACACCATTCCTTGGCTTCACCAGAGCATGAGATGCAAAGGGCAACAGAACTGTGTTTCTGGGCTACATAAGAGCTTGAGAGACAGTGAAAGGGAGGATAGGGAACGGGACAACCCTTGCTGAGCCACGGGGATGCTCTCTCCCTTCTTGTGTGCTCCACTGAATGCTACAAACACTGTAGTATTTCCTTAGAAAACCAAACTTGAGGAAAACAAATATGATAGCCAACAACATGTGAACCCGGCAGCAAAACTGATAAATGAAATGGTCACAGTGGCCACAACAGGAAACTTGTGCTGGGAAGATCTGCAGTCAAAGATGTCATCCAAGACCTCCCTTCACCTTTGAGGGCTCACAACTCCTGGTCAACACAATCAGGAAAAAGATACCTGGTGGCACCCAAGGTGAAATGTGGAGGATCTGCTTAACACAACTGCAATTTTACCACTGGCTTCGGAGCCAGGTTTTCACCTCCTTTGTACCAATTCTCTGCAGCGTTCAGTACATGCTCATGAATGGATGCAAGTTATCTCTTGATTGCTTGGATTCAGTTCTCCTATTTTACGGGCATCGTTGTGAATGGGAAAGTTGTCTGCCTTTCCAGCTGGGCACTAGATCCTTCAAGGCTGTGCACAAGCCAAGAAGCTGTGGTAAGCAACCACTGGAATCAGCCTTCTGCCATCTAGAGACAAAGATGTCAAAAATAATAAAAGGGTGAGGGAGAAAACATCTAACTTTAATTAAAAAGAAAAAAGGAAAAATACCTCTGCAAAATGCAGAATCAATAAGATCAGAAGAAAGATTTGTAGGGAAAACTCATTGCTCAGGCAAGAAGAAAAAAAACTACCTTGGACTATTTTGCTGTTTACAGTCATATAGCTTGCCAAGGAAAACATGAATGTGCATGGACTGATACTGTACTTATGCTGCTGCAGCTTTCAGTCACAGCCCTCAGCACTCCCCTTGCTGCATCCTCCCTTTCTCAGAGGACACAGTTGGGCACAAAGCGACCTACGAATGCCACTGAGCAGCCCGGCCCTCAGGCTCCCAGGTCTCCCATCAAACTGTGGTCTTGCCAATGTGGGAAAGTTTTACCACTTAGAGCAATACAATTAATACAGCTACAACAGCATCCTATCATCAAGAGTAATGTTTGCTCCAGAATAAGAGTAGCATTTTCTAAATTTGATTTAAACTTCTTCCAAAGTGATATAAAAAATGCTCTCTTCTACCAGAATAAAAGTGTCCAGATGAGGAATCAGAGCTATTTAAATTCATAATTTTCCTACTAGTCTCTTTATGCCTCAGCTCCTAGTACTAAACTCCTTGCTTAAAGATAACGACATAGATATGAGCACTTGGTTGCAGAGTTAATAAATACCTAGCTCTTATACAGACTTTCTACCAGTAGTTCTCAAAATATTTCAAAAAGCAAACTATTCCACTTTTCAAAGGCAGAGATCTGAGGAACTGGGGTAAGGGTCCTTGGTCAAAGCTACCCTGTCAGACAGTCGGCAATAAAACCTGGACTCCCCAGAGCAGCTCCACGGAGGAGGAGATGACCAGGTCCGGCCCACTACACTATATTGGCTCCCGTCCTGGAGCCCTGGCCTGACTTCACCTTCTGCCCATCCTCGAGATGGGGTGGGAAAGGGTCAAAGCGGCAGCAAACAGAAGAAACCCCAGAGCAGCGCGGGCTGGCATCAGAGCTACAGCAGCCAGGCCCAGGACAGGTCTCAGCAGCAAGGCCCTGTCCTTGCTGCTGCCTGCTCGGCCCTTAACACGCCTTCCGCTCTCCTGTTACTAGCCGCCCTCCCAGCCTCAGCTCTCAGATCTCTGGGGTGATGTTTGGTCGCCTGGTACTTTTTGG